AGGTTTCGAAAACTGCAAACTAATATTTGTTTTGAATTGATTACTAACGACATAGTTATGCTTGAATACTCCAGTGAAAACTCAGAGCAACATCTTCTACCTTAGTTGTGTGACGGATGAGTGTCGTGGAAAGAATAGAATCCTATGGGCATAGGTATGGCTTTGAGTTCCAACGAGAGAAGCGTGTTTAGCCTACGACACCCTGGTAGTAAATTACCGACCTCTTGTGCATTTCATTCCGAAAGTAATGCAACAGCTTCGGATGAAATCTTTTTTCTTAGGCACCAGTTTCGTCTAAACAAGATCTGAGTAATTGGTTTGTCAGTACCTTGAAATGCATTTCAGTGATTACTGCCTGCTGTGGTGGAGGTGCAGGATCATGCCAAACCTACAGTACGGCCGACAATCTGACTGGCATCGCTTGCTGTGATCTCACTCCATTCAACAGCATCACACATTTGTGTTGTGATGGAGCTATAAAGTTGGTCACACTAATTTCCGATCACTTAGATTTTTACCTCTTTGAACAGCAAAAGAAGAATTACAGAAAGCGGTCTGATCCCAGCATGTACGTCGACAAATGCTGTGGAAAGAACTTGTTGGTGCCAAATCAGACGTGTTGCAATGGAACGGTAAAGAATTTAGTTTGAGAGACTCGGATTAGTTATTGAACTCAAATCCTAAAATGTTGATGGAGTTGAGTTTTCTCCATCATTGGTCACAGAACCTCAATGGACACTTACTACATTATATCTCTTCATCTCTGCTGAACATGATCATTACTATGCTTTTTATGATCTAAATTTCCTCCTATAGCTAGAACAAAACAGTTCTCATGGGCTGCAGATGATCTAGGGGCTCAAGTCCACCCCCATTTGAACTTTTGTGCTGCACTGGTGTTTCACATGCTCAGGGCATCATATGAAAATTTTTATGGTATTGTCGCTTTAAACTCTGAATCAAATTTCAACAAACCACATATATGTAGTATGAAACTACCCTTATGATACTTGCATGGAACTGCTAGAAGGGTGAAGGATAAAGCCTCGGGGCATCGATCGATCCCGTCTGAGGGATGCGCTCGCGCACTCGACTTTCATTCAGAATCGTAGTGGCGTATTGAAAGCATATTTGAGCTATACAATAACTTGCTGTGGTCTTGCGATGTACAAGTCAGTGTTTTCAACTCTCAGGCGAGTTTTAAACCGACCGACCCACTGAGGAGGGACGGAATGCTTGGTTGGTATAGGGGATATCGATCCGGGATCTGAACCCGTGACCACGCGGTGCGCCTCTTGCCACTACTCCCACCACCCCCGCTCTTAAGAAGCTAAAGAAATGAGATTTTCTGTAATACCAACAATGATTGTAATACCATCTCAGGGCGAAGGGATTTTGTTGTGAAAGGCACAGTCAACGATAAAAAGTAGGCCGAATCTATGGGTCCCATGGATAGCACATCGCACACTGCTGGGCCGGAAAACTGTGAAGACAAAACGTCTAATAAAGATCCTAGGGACTTTCCCTTTCCCTACACGGAGCTTCAGTATATGGCCAGTTGTGGTACTATTGATGTCGTTACGCTTAGCCTCAAGTCCCTATGAGAAAGTGCCACTGGTGAACATCATCCTTACAATTTGTCAAGAAAGAGCAGAATTTCAGCATGGTTCGAAGTTGTACCGCCATCTCCTTTTTTAGGTACACAACGTGGTTAATGGCGACTGCTGTGGAACCGCCGTGTATTCAGCCTCGGAATCGACGTATTTGTGTTGTGAAGGGAATTTGTCAAGGTAGCCCAAACATTGAGCACGATTGATTCATATCCTTCTCGAAGGGTGTTCCGATTCTTCACACACATTCCATATGAACAGAAGCTATAGTAGACGAGCTATGACTGGGGCAATACGTGAAGGTCGATTTGAGCAACACCTTCCACCAATTCTTTTTGTGTTCAGTTCTAGTAGAATATATTGTGTAGTTTATCATGGCAAGTTTAAGAAGTGTTAGCTGACTCTGAGCAATGTATATTGTTCCTGTAGATAATCCGTTCCAGGACCATCTCTCCCACAGATAAATGTTGTGGTCCAATGGCATTCGATGGAGGTGTTCAAGAAATATGCTGTGGCGGTAAGGTACGTGGAGACGCCGTAGGTTTAAAACAAAATAAATTAAAAATAAAAATAAGTGCTGGCTTTTTGTACATTGCATCTCCCGATGAGTCTAAGGGAAGGAATGGCTCCACCAGGAAAGGCAATGTCGAACATGATTCTAATAAGTTGGGAGAAAGCGTTTCAAGAATGAAGACCTGCGGAGGCCCAGCAACAAATAATGACTAGGGTGGGTATAAACGCATTCAAACGGAGGTATGCTCTCCATTTCCAGACAAGTAGCCCGACAGAAATCTTGTCGTTCAGCTGTCCATCGTTATTCTCTTGAAGTCAGGTTTGAATGATGGACTTCGTAGAAAAATAAAAGGCATGGCCACAAGCATCCTGTCGCACTGGCCTATACTACAAATGAGTTTCATCTCATTCCATGGATCTCTCGTCGGAGTCTTGGGTCGTACATCTTTGTGATTGAAGGTGCTTCCGAAGAACCCCTCCACGTAATAGAAGAGACATGGGCGTGACCCATTTTTGAGGAACTAGTTGGAGTGCATTGCAGCAGAATC